CACAAAACGTCTCTAAACTCAAAATGAAACTCGTGTCATTATTATGTCATTCTACAGCTTCATAAAATAATTGAAAAACGTTTCCGGTAACATTTACACTATTAAACACTACCTCAGTTGTTAACCCTAAAACTATAATTTTTTTTTATAATTATATTATGATGTGTATACTCAAAACGTCTATGTATGTTTTTTCGCTCATCTCTGTGCTATATGACTAAAATGAATGCATGTTCTAACACGTAAAAGCATTTATGTACTTTAAAAAAATGGTTTATACTCTTGTTTCGCCCCCACCCCTAGTGCATGGGGTTCTCACTGTGTAATAACGTAGATTTATCTTCACAGTTGCTTTTTAATGGATGTTTGAATTTTCTACCCGCAAGACTTAAAACGATTTGGATCAATAATATAAAAATACAAGAAGAAAGGAAAACTTTGGCTGTGCTTCCTGTCTTGGATATTTTGCTTTTATTAAATAACGGGGTATGCTGTTGTTTCTTCACAGGTGCTTAAAAGTATGAACGCGTATATTCGGTTTTGCTGTAGACAGAATTCGGTCTATTTTCAAACATCTGCAAAACGTTGTAACAAAATTATTTATTTACGTACATCATAAAATCAAATAACTGATTTTTCATACTTTATAAAGTTTGCTTTTTACTGGACAGGAAAGTTCCAGCTAATTAATAAGGTATTTTCGTTTAGGGAGATAAGTACGGACAAGTTATTTACGTAATAACAAAAAGTTAGCAAGGGTTTAATTAACAGGCAGTGTTGGAACGATCCTGACTTGCATCAGAAAATAACGCAATCGCCGTAATTCATGGGTGAAAAAATATCAAAGGAAATATTGTATTCTTTCATCTGATTTACATACAATTTATTCAGTACTCTATAGAAACAGGACGCAACGATAAACGCATGAACACGATAGACTTTATTAAATGTGACTGGAATGAATAAAGTCTGGAACTAGACTGAGTGATTGGCTTGTAAAACTATTTTCAAGACAATTAGGTAACATGGGCGCGAAAAAAGGTCGCTTTCCTGGTTTTCACCAAACACACAAAAGCAATTACAAAATTGACCACTCTGTATTCCAATGGGAGAGTCAGGCTAACTTCCAGATTACCGCAGGCCTACTTATGTATGATATGGTATCAAAAGAGAGATTTTAGTTTACGTTGTTACGTATTATAATCTCGAATAGCCTGAAATTGTGTTAAATTGTAATTTAGATTTAGAAGTTAAATAAATGTCGATATGTATCCAATTTATGATGTTTGCCAACAAGATTGATACACACAGTTTCTTTTTTAATACAAATATGTTTTAATATACAAACAATAATACAATTTACAATAACAGTTATTACAAACAATGATCTATGTACAAAAGATTTACAAACTTACAAACAATATCGAGTCTTCTTTCTTGTCTGGAACTTCCTTGATGTCTTATCGAGGGTTCACGATGAGCGAATTAATTTTGAGTTGATGTAGGTACAGTTCACTTAACAGGGAGCTCTGTGGTCTTCGCTGATCACACGCTGATTACAGATCGAGTTCTATACCGCTGAAGTTATATAATGTCTTCGTAAAAGTACTAATGTTCGATGTGAATCCACTGAATTTAAATGGTTTGTAATGTTCCAAATTTATAAATGTTCCTGGTCAAATATCGGAAGTTTCCTGATTAATAAGCGTTAATCACAATTATAGCTTCTGGAGTTTATAGTTTACCAACTGTAGCCAACCAATAATATTGCGCGTCGCGTTGGTTATATTTATAGGCGCGAGGAAAGTTTCTCGAAATTTCAGCTTATGCAATAACACTGACGATACACCGATGTTTACGTACACACATGTGTTGTTTATTCTTACACTCGAGAATCTTCTATAACTTTAGTGAATAGGCAGATATTTCGCAATACAGATTTAACAGTACAAGTTATGTACATTTCTAAATATAAATTCAACTTAAACAAACATCGAGATTAATATATATATATATATAACAGTAAATCCGTCACAACTTAAACTTCTTATTCTCCGATTGATGCTCTGAAGGACTATAAATATTCCGAGAAATTAGTTATAATAAAAATATTATCTTCCATGAAAAATCTCTTTACTTTTAAGAAACAAAATAAATGATAGTTCAATTATCAGCTATAGGTATAATTCAAACTTCTTTCACCAAAATATGTTTGTCCCCTACTTGCAACACAAGTAACATATTTATAACTGGTTATGAGCTAATGGTTAGGTAGATTATTTGAAAATTGATCATTAGTATTATTATAAACAGCTTATTACTATCATTAATATAAACATTATTTCAACAAGTGTTAAGTGCGTCTCTTTCAGAATAACTCAGCACCACTGAGTAATGTCGTTGTCGTTTTCTCTTTTCGATTAACTTTAGCTAGAATCAGAAAGTCTGTTCACTTGTACCCCTGCTTAAGAGACCAAGACTCTGGGAGTTTTTCAAAAAAAAATTACAATCGTGTAAAGTAACTAATCTTTAAAAATTCAAGATTATTTGTACACTCACCCAAAACCTTAACACAATGTATTTATCAATGATGAAATAGAATTGTCGGTGGTTACTATGATAAAAATCTATGATTAACGTGTTATGAAACTTCTTAAAGCTCATTGCATGCATAATTAAATCCAAACTACAATAACTCGTATATTCCGTTTTTTGTTTTCTGTAAAACATTTGTTACAGTGACTGAAATGAGAAACGAGCGCTTCGCGGTTATGTGCTATAGACATACCAGCCTTACGCCAGAGCCTTTTGCAATGGAAATTACGCTGTATGACTATTGTCAAGATGCATAGTCGACAGATATTGCATGAGCGGATGTGGCTAGGCTAAAAAATCGTTTACTATTATGTATTCAGCTTCTGTATCGTCTGCTATAATGTAAGTGAGGTATTATGTATTCTTTCTTTAATGCTACTTTCATCGACAATATTGGTTAGAATGTTTAATATATCTAGCTTACAATTCTTCATGTTTTATTATTATACTTTTATCATAAGGGCTTCAGTGTGAAAGACTATAGAGTTTGTTGAGTATTGTTACTTCAGTATATGGATTTAGGACCAATGTAAATATCCTAAGTTGTTTGAATCGCGTTAGATGTTATTGGGTTTATTGACGAAAATATTGTTAACACCGTCGTTACGCAACTGATTAAATAATACATCCTAGTTTTATAAGTAAGAAATTATGAAAAGTATATTGAATTAAATATACTTATTAGTGAGTTGATTTTTAGGTTTATGCTAAGAAGGTAGCTTGCTCTCATTGGAAGTTAATATTAATTATAAGATTGCACAGTAAAGAAACAAAACACACAACCTCACATTACTAAGTAAAACAAGATTCCATTGACAAGATAAAATCCAAATAAAAACTAAAGTACTAAAATCTGTGACAAAGCAACACAATATATCAAGTTGTGGACAAACTAGTTGATTTCATGCTTAATATTAAAACAAGAATTATATGAGTTCTCGAACAGAGAACTGCTAATCAGAGTTAACTCTAAACATTCTTTAAATGTTGGCCTTGCATGAAACGTTTCTCAAGGAGTAACGTAACATAGCTTTCATCACTGTATTTTGGCTAGTGACCACCTAGCTTTCTGTAGACAACTCTCGGTGACGTTATACTAACGAAAAGAAAACGATAACTTTAACACTTATCACATAAAGAAAAATCGGTCGCGGCTTAATGGTTTGGCGTGCTCGAACTCTTAATCTAAGAGTTCATAATATGCGTTACCAGCCCGCGAAAACACGCTCGCACTTTGTGGCCGTGGGTGCGCTATAAGAGTGACGGCCTTCTATTCGAATAGACAAGAGTTAGTAGTTGGTGATCTTGACTAGTTGTCTTCCTGTTGGTCTATCAGATTAAAATAATTGTCGGCTATGCAGTAATCCTTCATGTAACTTTGCGTGAAAGCTCTGAAACAAAACCCATTACATAAGCAACAAGAGGTAATCCTCAATAGCCGTCGCTGTAATTAGATCCCAAATCGTTCAATAGATGGAGCTGTGAGCTAAAAGTTTGTACTTGAAAAAAAACAAACTCGGAGCCATTTTATGAGCCGTTTATGCCGCGGCTAAAGATAAGTAAAATTACTATATAATTATTATAGAGCATTATTTTATGTGTGTTTGAAAATGTTCTCAGTTTTGTGTCAAATTTGGACTAAAAACAGATTAAACAAACGCTTTTAATCAAACACAAAGCTACACAATGGGCTATCTGGACTCTGCCCACCACAGGTATTGAAATCCGGTTTCTAGCGTTGTAAGTCCGTAGTCATACCACTGTGCCATTGAGGGGAGGGGGCTAAACGAATGCTTCGCTTTTTGAACGTTTGTCTTGGAATTTATTTTTTACAGGAAAAAACTGTTTTCTTTCATTCACTTACTTCGTCTGTAAAACTTAAATGGAGGACGATTGCCCGATAAATGCATATTGTTACTCTTAATACAGTTATCCAATAGGTATCCGAATTTTAATTATGTTTAAATATTTACAGCATAGATGTATACATTTATTATGGGCTTTTGCTTATGTGCGTCTTTAAAATCAATTTTAACGTAATAATAATAATAATAGCTACTCTGGGCTTCCTCCAGACCGTCTTTTGCGTTAGATAATAATATTCTGTGCAAGTGAGCAGAAAACGTTTCGAAAGAAAGCTAGAAAGAGGATTAGTTATTGAGATTACAAAAGCCATAACAATATTAATAATGGGAACTTGTATATGCAAATTTGTTTTAATGAGCTCCACACAAAAAAAATAACAATTGACTCTACTTACTGATGTGATATCATTTTGCGGGTATTTTACCTACGTTACTGCTGTACAACCAATAAGATTGTCTAATTATTGCGCTTGCGCAAAATAGAAGCCGGCTTTTGGCTTATCGTTGAGTATTGAATATATAGCGAGTGGAGAGTGACGGATGAAGGACCAAGACATGAGTTTAACAGATCAACTTGATAAAGAATAATGTAGTTCGAAACTTATTATTTATACAATTCATTCATCCAAAATTTCGTTTTTGTCTAAAAACCTTAACCTTCTTACCAAAAACAAAAGTGTTATAATTAAATAATGGACCCTTCATATTTCCTCAACACAACTAACCTCACCAATCCTGACGACTTCCCAGCCCTGGAAGCCCTTGGCGTTGAGATGCAGGCCTTTTTTATCACCGTATATTCATTGACTACTCTTTTGGCACTGGGAGGAAATGTCGTGGTTGTTGGGGTGTTAGCCTTTGGAAAAAGGTCTTCTCGAGATCTTCGAGTCTTTTTGATTAACCTAGCTATTTCAGATATTACTATGGCAACGTTCTCTATTCCATTCACTTACACAGATTTTATGCTAGGTCGGTGGATTTTCGATCCTAATTTCTGTCCTATGGTTTTGTTCATGCAACTCTGTTCGGTGATCGTCAGTGTATACACACTAATGGCAGTTGGTCTTGATCGGTAAGTATCAAATGTGATAATATATATATAGAAATAACATCGTTGATTATCAACTATGACTGACTGGTACCAGATATTAAGTTCAGTATCCAAACAGTAATTATTTTAGACATGGTTTATAAGAACCAGATGTAATAATCGTATTCAGACATTAAGCAGTGAGCCTTAATTGATAAATAATTTAGTATATGTCATAGTCTGAAATTCAAATATTAATCGGTCAGCTTCAACTAACAAGTACCAAGTTGCATAGTCCGTTTTCAGACATTGATAAGTGAGTCTTAACTGATAAACGTCAAATACTATAGTCAGTGTTCAGTGTTAAGCGCTCGGGTTATAGGATTTTTATTCATTATTCTTTTTATTGTTCATTATCCATACATTTGCTGTCAGTTTTCTAGTTTCCCTTTTTCGTATTATTAATGTTTGTCAAACATTGTAGGTAATCAATTACATGTTCTAGTTAGCGTTTAGATAGCAACTTAATAATAAAGAGACAGGAAAGTCTTCCAGTTTTGCAATGAAAATTGCTATTTGTTTATATATTGTTTAGGTTTTTTTAAGCATAAAGCTACACAATGGCTCGTTGCAGGGACAATCCTTTAATTTCAGTATTATAAGCAATCAAGTTTATCACCGAACCAATACCGTTGCAGGGACAATCCCTTAATTTTAGTGTTATAAGCGAACAAGCTTATCACGGAGCCAATACCGTTGCAGAGACAATCCCTTAATTTTAGTGTTATAAGCGAACAAGCTTATCACAGAGCCAATACCGTTGCAGAGACAATCCCTTAATTTTAGTGTTATAAGCGATCAAGCTTATCACAGAGCCAATACCGTTGCAAGGACAATCCCTTAAGTTTAGTGTTATAAGCGATCAAGCTTATCACCGAGCCAATACCGTTGCAGGAACAATCCCTTAATTTTAGTATTATAAGCGATCAAGCTTATCACCGAGCCAATACCGTTGCAGGGACAATCCCTTAATTTTAGTATTATAAGCGATCAAGCTTATCACTGAGCCAATACCATTGCAGGGACAATCCCTTAATTTTAGTGTTATAAGCGATCAAGCTTATCACCGAGCTAATAGGGAAAATTTTCAGACTATAATGTTTCTAAGTTCTTAAACCTGCTTTATAAAATTGTGATCCGTTTTTGACAAATTTGTTTGCGTTTTATTGTTGAATTTTTGTACAATATTCTCCCAACAGAAACTGTTCTAAATGTCCGTCATTAAGCGTTGAAATAGCGCATAACGTAATCAATCGAGTGCACATGTTGGATTGAATTTAAACAAATCCTTCGTTTACTATTGTTAAAGGATGTTATAGCCCAAAGGAGTTTAGATTAAATTGAAATGAAACACCAGCAGGTTTTTTAAACCGATGCCATCCTGCTAATGAGTATTAACCGCGTTGCTCGCTGATCTCTAAATCTTTCTATTTCAATATCTACCTTTAGGAAAAGATATATGAAATTTCGTTCAATGTGTTTTGCTCTGGTATGAATGCGTTTATTTGCTGGTATTTTACTAAACAACCAAAGAAAATGTACATTTAGAACAAGCGTCTTTTCCTGTAGTGTTGAAACAGCATACAGGCTTAACTCAAAGACAGAGATTAGAAACAGCAGTTCCAATCTAAAATGGATTATTTGTATGTGTATACTAGTTTATTTCATATAGAAAATAGCTAATTATGTATAAGCACGTGTACACACAACTAAAACATGTACACGTACAACCAATGTGATGAGGGGTAGTAAGAAATAAACCACAGTGTAATGCTAATCTGAAAAACTCTTTAAAGATTAATATTATTTCGCAACCTTTGTTAATATTTATCTAGCTTTCTTACTTTAAAAAAAGATTCAGCAGAGACTAAATCTATTAATGTTGCTTTTTTTTCTTCGCCGAAATATGTAGTTTCAGTGAAGAAGAACTAATTCGTGCATGATGGAAAGACTCAATATATTCTTTGATTCGTTACTCCCACTGCAGCAATAATAATGAATAATTAATTGCGCAATTTTGTATGTTCGTAAGGAGTTTCGGAGACTTATCATCCAATCTATCGCTGTGACATTCTAAGACTCGTAGTCGCATACTGTAAGCACAAACAAGGGACACTTGTGTACAGTTTAACATAATATAATGTCTACTAAATATAATACAAAACAGTTATCTAAAGGGCATGCATATAGCTTTCGGTATTGTTTGCACGAAGATTATCATAAATGAGAAAAATACAAACATCATACAGATATACGTTATTACACAGTAGTGGAAGAATGATGATGTAATCTTTATTTATGTTTATAATGGTTTTTAACTCAGTTGGCTTCGCATATTCTGATGAGCATCTTTCAGACATCAGACAAGATATATATGTATTTTACTGTCTATGAAAAGCGTATTTAAAATCAGGCACAATTACTATTTACACCTCTAATATGTTTTCCAAGTTAGGCATATACAATAAACTTTCACTCTATAGTTACCAACGGTAGTAAAACTGGTTTGATTGGGTGAATACTAAGAATTTTACAAATATTTCAGTAAATGACAAAACTATACGAGAAAAACAGGTATTTTCGTTTTGGATTTATCAATCATTGTTAATCAATACTCAAAACTTTTATCCGAGATATGTTTTATATGTATTTGTAAGAGTGTTAAGTATTCATTTCTGCTTCTTAAAGCCCACCTCCCTCGTGGCACAGCGGTAAGTCTAAAGGCTTTTAAAGCAACAAAATCGGGTTTCGATACTAGTGGTGGGTACAGCATAAATAGCCCATTGTGTAACTTTGTACTTAATTGCAAACAAACAAACCAAACTGCTTGTTAAATAGCGTTAAATTTTAATGTTTCGACACATACAATCTATGACAGTGTATATATAAATAGCGTTAAATTTTAGTGTTTCGACACATACAACCTATGATAGTGGATATATACAAAACTGTATACCGGTGTTTCTCTAACATAAATGCCAATTATTATTTAACTTACAAAAAAACTCTCAAATAGTAAAGAAAGTTGCAAAAATGGTAAATTATCAACATATTTGACCTTCTTCACAACGCTTAGTACAGTTTTTCCATTTAGCGATGTTGCAACTGCTGTTATAATAATTTTAAAACACATTGCCGCTCTATTTTTGTCTTTCTCTTTTGCTCTTTTTTTGTTGATTCAACTGAGCGGTATGTCTGCGGACTTACAACGCTAGAAACCGGGTTTCGATACCCGTGGTGAGCAGAGCACAGATAGCCCATTGTGTAGCTTTGTGCTTCGTTCCAAACAAACAAAAAAACTTATTGAAATGTGGTGAAGTAGGAAAATTATTTCATATACACAGACTCTTCGCGTCATTAATGACATGAGCTAATTATTCAAGTGGAATATATGAACAATATATATATCAAGAAGAAAATGGTTTGATAATAGACATAACTTTACCTGATAAGTGATGGAATAAATGAAATAATGCTAAGGGTGTCTTAAGTGTTGTTATATTAAATATGTTTGTTTGTTTGTAGTTTAGCACAAAGCTACACAATGGGCTATCTGTGCTCTAGCGTTGTAAGTGCGCAGACATACCGCTGTGCCATTGGGGGTGCTATTAAATATGAAAATGAAAACTGGGAATGTAAACTTTATAAAGCTTTACTTGCTATGCAATATTTAATACTTCGGCACATAGTGTTCATTTTGCTAAAACTTTGTTTTAGGGCTTTTTCTTAGAGAATTGGCCGGCAATCACCTAATGATTAACGTGTCAAGCTGCGGATCAGAAGGCCCAAGATTCGAGCCCGCGATATGCCGCCGAATACGCTCTACATTTTCAGCTATGGGCGCGTTTTAGAATTGACAATCAATCCCAATATTCGTTAAGAGGAGCTGTGTAAGCGGCTAGTGCTGCTGGCAAGTTGCCCTCCCTCTTCTTCCAGTAGAGGTTGTGCTTGTACCCGTGCCTGTAACCCATTCTCGCATGGCAAGTTGCCCTCTCTCTTCTTCTAGTAGAGGTTGTGCTTGAACCCGTGCCTGTAACCCATTCTCGCATAGGATGATGTTCTAGTTGAAAATATCAAGTACTTAGATATTTATTCATAAAGATAATACGCTGTTTTCTTCTATTCAAGAATCAGTTTCAATAAATTTGCAGAGAGTTCATCTCGTTAATTAACAAGACTTAACAGTTGCAGAACACCTTAGCTGGCGAACACAGCATTTAGTAGTTCCATGAATGAATGATATTATATCATACTATTACTATCAATCAATTATTTAGTTGTTTTTTGCTTGTTCGTATTGTAACTTTCAGTAACCTTCGTTCTGTCACACAACAGCAATGCTATTTACATTGTTTTAATAACAATAACGTTCTATTTCACAACCTTCATATTTTTATTTAAATCATTTCATAAAATAATGCTTTATGGATTAAAGTGTTTCGTATTAAAAATATGAAACATTTTAGTCCATCAAATGAAATATCGTAGGCAGAAATGAAAAAAATACAGATGATATAAAAAGCATTGTTTTTCTATTATAAATTATATTTCTTTGCTATTAAAATATTCATTTGTGTATAAAAATTTAATGATCGGTAATGTTGAATGTGGACAGAGAAATTATCTAAGTTTTGCATACTTTTATATCAATTCTTGATTTGTTGTGTATCATAATAAGAAAATGTGATAAACTGAAACCATATAAAGTTATATTATGAAGAATACAGAGTTTTGTGGTACTCCAATTACACAGAACTATCTTTTTTTCCTGATCTGTTAGAAATTCTATAATTCTATTATAATGTAGAGTATTTTAAGCCATACCCTTTAGACTAAGTATAACGAGCGTTAGTTTTAACTTTAGTTAAATTGGACAGATATTATTTTCGAAATTAGCTTGCTTATTTGTTAGTTCTTCTGAATGATGAATAAAGATAATTCCAATAAAAATAAATAATAATAATAATTAACTGGTGTTAAAA